TCTTGCCACCAAATTTTTTGATGCTGTTAAGGTTTTTTTGACTCTTTGTGAACCCTAGAGATTGATAAAAATTTTTAGCATTGCTTTTCTTTTTATGTCTGCCAAAAGGATATGGGGAATTAGGTAGGGGTTAAGGTAAATCTCTCGATCACTTAGGTTAGAACAATTTTCACATATTCAGTGCTTTTCTGGTTTTCATTTTACTAATCATTTGTAGTTTTATTCCATTTGGGTCACAAAAGACAATTTTTAAGATTATAGTCTTTTAAACTTTGTTAAATATTGTGTGTGAACTAGTAGGTCATTTATCCAGGAGAGTGGCAAAAAAGTTATTGAAAAGACTGTATATCTTGTAGTTGTATGGACTGTTCATTATACATATATTTATCAGGACTCTATAATTCACAGACTTATTCACATCTCTATTTGCTTATTAATATTTTGTCTGGACTTGTTATTTGTTACTCAAGTAGAGTATTGAAACTTCTTACTATTGTTGTGTTGGTATTCCATCTATTATTTTAACATTTACCTCCTATATTTTGGGATATTGATAGATGATAACCTTATTTACTTATTTAGAATATCTTTTTTGTCTGCTGTCAGCCTTTTTTTTCTTGAAGTATATTTTGTCTATGAGGTAGTTTTAAACTTAAAGTGAGGTTTGCCTAATGACCACCCAGATCTTACGTCATAACCATTTTCTGGAATATCTTTGCATCCTGTCATTTTTAGGCAGTTTGCATCCTCAGATTTAAAGTGTCGGTCTTTTAAATAGTACAAGATGACTGCAATTTTTCGATGCATTTAAACAAAATATTTGCTTTGTATGTAATTAAATAAATTTCTGTAAAGGAGAAACTTACTATTTTGGTAATAATTTTGCGTGCTTTTTTTTGGTAGAAACCTTGCCCATCTTTTTTCTCATACAGACTTCAGAATGTTTTATTAATTTCTCTTATGAGTTGGAATCTCACTTTCTTGCCCATGCTGGAGTAAACTTGCACACTCTCAGCTACCCCAGTCTTGACCTGCTAGACTCAGGTGATTCTTTCCCCTCAGCCTTTCAAGTAGCTGGAAATACAGGCATGCATCAACATGCCTGGCTGATTTTTTAATTTATTATAGAGACGAGGTCTTACTATGTTGCTCAGGCTGGTCTAGAATCCCTGAATTCAGGTAATTCTCTCAACTCTGCCTCCCAAAATGCTGGGATTACAGGCATAATCCACTGTGCCATTTGTGTTATTAATTTTTATAGTGGCATACTTTGATTTCTTTTTCATTTCATTTTGTATCTGTATAGCTATTTTATTTTATTTTATTTTTGAATTGTAATCTTACTCTGTCACCCAGGCTGGAGGGCAGTGGCATGCTCCTAGTCTCTGCAGCCTTGACCTGCTGGACTCAGGTGATCCTTCCACCTCAGCCTTTCAAGCAGCTGGAACTGCAATCACGTGTCACCACTGCTGGCTAATTTTTAAAATTTATTTTAGAGATGAGGTCTCACAAGTTGCCCAGGCTGATCGCAAACCCATGGGCTCAGGCAATCCTCTCACTGTGGCCTCCCAGCATACTGGGATTATAGGTGTGAGCCACTGCTCCCAGCCTGTATAGCTATTTTCTTAGTGGTTACCATGAAAACACATGAAGTATCTTAAGTTTACAACAATATATATTAAAATGGTAGTCATATACTATCAGTTGCATGCAACAGTAATTTCTCTTTGCGTCACCCCTTCACTGATACTGGTATCACTGACTACATATTTTTCTATTCTATATATCTTAGCAGATGTTTATGAGTTTTTTCCCTTTGTCTTCATTTTATTTTTACTTTTTTAGTTGGAGTCTCACTCCACTGCCTAGACTGGAGTGCAGTGGCATGCTTCCAGCCACCATAGTCTCCACCTGCTGGACTCCAGGGATCCTTCCACCTCAGCCTTCCAAGTAACTGGAACTACAGGCATGCACTACCACGCCCAGCTAATTTTTTATTTATTGTAGAGATGAGGTCTCGCCAAGTTGCCCGGGCGGGTCTCGAACCCAGGTTTAGGCAATCCACTCACCTCGGCCTCCCAAAGCCATGGGATTACAGGCTGAGCCACCGAGCTTGGCACCTTTGTCTTTAAATTTGGTAGCAGAATGAAACATTGATGCACCATCATCCTGATACTACAGAATTCTGTGTTTGTTTATGTAAACAAAGGGAAACTGCAAAAAAAAAAAACAAAACCCAGAATTTATTTTTTAAAAACTTGTGGGCCAGGCTCAGTGACTCAGCCTGTAACCCCAGTACTTTGTGAAGCCAAATCAAATGGATTGTGTGAGCCCACGGGATCGAGACCAGCCAGGGCAACTCGGTGTGACCTTGTCTCTGCAATAAATCAAAAAATTAGCTAGTCAGGTGTGGTAGTGTGCACATGTCATTCCAGCTACTTGAAGGTTGAGGCGGGAAAATCACCTGAGCCCAGCAGGTCAATGCTGATGTGGCTGTGAGCATGCCACTGGACTCCAGCCTGAGCAATGGAGTGAAACTGCAACCCTCCCAAAGAAAAAAACGTGTGTATTTATTCCTATTTAAATGTCAGTCACCTGCAACAAACTCTGTTTTTAATATGATACTCTTATCAAAAATGCTTTCTCCTCTGCTGAGAAACAGTTTGTCAATTTTCATGCCTTCCAGTTGTCAATTTTCATGCCTTCCAGTTCCTCTGCTATGTTCTGTTTTATCTTTTCCAAATTGGCAAAGTGTTTATTTTGAGGACATGCAGTGAAAGAATAAAAATGTCACTTGGGGTGAGATTGGGTGAATAGAGACAGCGAAGCACAGGAGTTATGCTGTTTTTCAATAGAAACTGCTGGACACCCAGCATACTGTGGACATGTACATGGCCAGGGTGGAAGAACCAGTCACCTGTTTGCCATAAGTCTGTTTCTTCCACAGCACTGCCTCTCCCAAAAGTAGGTGGTATACTGATGCTGATAAATTCCAAGAACACAAGCCAGGTTTGGTGGCTCAGCCTGTAATCCCGCGCCTTTGCGAGGCTGAGGTGAGTGGATTGCCTGAG